TAACAATTAATAAAACATAATTTTTAAGAAAGTTTTGAAAACAAACCAAGGTATAATCCTTCTAATTTGTTTGAATAATCTTCCACCAATTTTTCATGTTGTTCTTTAACTTTATGACGTCTGTCAATTTCCACTATCATGTGATCATATGCCCTGGCAAATTCTTCATACCTATAAAATAAGTTTATTATTATTCATATGTATAGATACACATATATAGAGCCTATAGATAACGCATACCACATGTTAAGATTTAATAATTCATCTAGTAAACGATCCACTATTACGGAACCTTTTTCAAAGTCAGCCTATAAAATAAGAAAAAAAAAATAAGAAAAGAATAAGAACAAAATAGTTAGTGGTTGACAATGCAGTATTTTTACTAATCTTTTTTTTTCCTTCACGATAAACATACTTCAAGTTCTTTAATTGTGTTTGAAATATTTTCAAAACTACTTCCAAAACCATCCAATTCAGAAAACAATTTGTTTGCTTCATCATATGAAGCACGATAAATATGATTTATAACTCGAACTTCTTCACTAAAAATTTTAAAATTGGATCAAATTCGAGTAAATAAAGAATTATATATATGATGTAATACCTTAATGATTCAATATATTGAAGTCCTTCCTGCAATACTTGAATAATTGATGGAAGTAGACCAGTATCATACTCAAGAACTAGAAGTAAAACTCATAATTCAATATATAGAAATTATATAAAGTATAAATAAAATGTATACGAAAGTTACCCGAAATATCGAGATTTAAGCTAGAATCAGTATGCGATTTACATGCTCTATTATATATAAATATAAAAAAAATCACATCACCAAAAGAAATTATAATTTGAAAAAAAAAGACTATAGCCTTTTAAAAATATAACTAACTTTAATGCAGCAGAAACTTGATCATAATTTCTTGCCAATGAAACTAATGTCTCAGCCATAGAATGAGCTTCTTGTTCAAGAGCTATAAACTTTTCACGAGAAAAATCTACACCAGATTTTTCAAGAGAGATATTATTACTTAAAAGCATTTCATCTAATTGTTTCTGTTGAATGTTGACATGTTCAAGGATTTTAGAACTATTTATATAATATTGCTGAAAAAAAATAAATAAATAAACTAATAATTAATAAATGATTTATTAATAAAATATAAAATCATATGATTTATAATTTACCTGAATAGCAAATACTTCCTCTTGTGTTTTTGATTTCAAATCTTGAACACTTTGTTCTTGTACGTAATCATATAAATAAACTTTTTCTTCGAAATCTTTTCTATTATTTTTTAGATCAAATTCTACATCCTTTTCCAGATCAACTAAAAAATTACTATTATTTTCACGAGCCATTGCTCGTTCTATTGCGATCGCATTTTCTCGAATAATAGAATCTACACGTTTATGTCGTAAACCTTCTAAAGTATTATCAAGTTTATCGATTATAATGGATAATTCTTGTTCTTTATTCTTTAAGGAAAAATAAACGAATCAGATCAAAAAAGATCAAACGAGATCAAAAGACTAGAATGATATTGTAATAATTTATACCGAATAAAATTCGTGTAAAATTCCGTTTTGCTTTTCAGCGATTTTTTTAAGTTTTTGAACAGACTAAGGAAAAAAAACACAAGAATTAATATTAATCCAATAAGTACATATAGTAGTAAAAACAAGCCAGACTAATAACAAGATACCTGAACTTGCACACCTAATTCACCCCATAAGAAACGAAGTTTTGGATATATAATTTCAATGTTCTCAACGTCATTTCTACATTCTTTTACAAGGTTATCAGTTTTATGACATAATTTTTCACCAGCTTGTAACGCTTTTTGGGATAGTGAAGTTAAATTTATTAATTTTGATTCCATTTTAAATAATAAAAAAGAAAGATTTTAAAAGCCAAACTAAATGGAAGAAAACAAATGAGAATATTTATGATTGAATTTTAGAACAGTTTAGAACAGGAAAGTGAATTTAAAAGCCATACTTTGTATAATTCACGTAGCACGAAAGAACATTTCTGTGATACGTACATACATTTTCTGTTGTACTAAAAACAGTCGATCATTGCAGTGTTGTTACTTGATAATGTCCGGGCGCCGTGTAACTGACTTTGAATAATCAGCTTTAGGTTTAACTTTAATAAGTTAGATGGTCAGGATTGTTGATTTTTCTGAATAGATTCTAAATAAATAAGTTATATAGTATTTTAAAAAATTCCAAACATTTAAAATTTGAGAAAATTAACATGACTGATTTTTTTTTATGATTTTCAGAGTTCACGGAAGTTTACAGAGAATCAGCCGATTATATAATAATTCTGACCAAATCGCAGAATTATCCGGAATTGATTGTCCCTGAGTAAGTTACGTAAATTATGAATTACCAAAAAAAAGATAAGTTGGGTCATTTTGTCTTACATTAATGCTAGCAAAAATTAATATATTAAATTAATATATGTATTAAATTTTATGATAACTTACTGGGTATACTATGATAAGTTACCACTAACAACTCTGATGGTAGCCATATCGATAACAGCTGGTAGATAAGTACCAATTAAAGTATATATGTATATATTTAAGTTGCTTCAATTAAATTTTTTCTTATTGCATGGGTACAGGCATAATTAATAAATGTATTATGTATCATTATATTTGCAAAAATATTTAAGTTGCATTCTCTCACTCTCTAAAAAATATACACTCAACAAGAAATACAAAATGGGCCCAAAACTCGCCAAAAGCTAAAATATCATTTGACTTCGAATAAGAAAAAAGAAAGAGCTTAAAAAAAACACTAGGTTATTCAGAAAGTTTCCTGGAATAAGCCTCTCTAAATAGGCAATCTATACCGCAGGATACTTAACTATCCTCCTGATTGCGAACGCAAGAATGGCTTAAGAGAAAGGAATTGATATTGAAAATGTTATAAACAATGGCATTGATGCCAAATATATAGAAAATATGAAGTAATATCGGTACGTACAATATATATTATTTAATTTAATAAATAATCATATCGATATAGCAATAGTGGCTATGTGTTAATTTAGAAACAATTTCCAAAAATACTATGTTGTTTTACGTAGAAGTTATTTTTAACAATTTTACTTACATTTTTTAAAGAAACATTAAAGCTAAGTTTAGGTTAGGATTACTTTGTTGATGCAGTATTTGAATACTAATGAATCTTTAGTTGGTTTAAAAAAAGGTCCAGATAATCTATACTACTGTCCTATTCCAATTTTCAATGTCCGCTTCCCGTATCAAAAAAAAAAACCTAAGTACGTTTGTATAGAGGATCGAGAATTCCTCTATAAATTCTGTATTTAATTTAGTTACAAAAAGCATATCGTATCCCATTCTGCATTCTGTCTCCATTTAACAATTTCATATTAGAGAGTACAGTCACAAAATTTTTCTTTTATATAAATAATATCTAATAATTATTTATGTTAATTTAGGTCGTGTATAACTTTTTTATATGTAACCATGAATGCTAATCTAACCCTAAAAAAAGCACCCCAGAAATGTTTAAAATTTTACATCAACCGATCTTAGCTTTAGTGTTAGCCGTAATAGCTACTGTTAAGAAAAGCAACTAACATTAAATGGTAGCTAATATTTGAGATCAGGCAGAATTCTAGTTTACGAATATAAGTTACTGATAGTTTTTCATGTTATTACAGATTGTAAATTCAACATTTTTATGGTGAAGATGAGAGTTTATCAAAAGTAACAACCAATCTAATCGAAGTAATTGAACAGTCTCTGCTTTAACGTTAATGTTTACGGATAATCAATACGTACGTAGCAATAGCTGCTTAGCCATAGTTTGGATCATCTAGCTAAGCCAGCAGATTATGTAAAACAATTACGTACGTACGTACGTACGTACGTATCATGTTTAAACGTATCATACAAAAATGGAAACTAAAATCCTTTTACGTACGTACGTATACCGATATGTATTTACTCTAATTTTCCATATATTCGATAATCATAGACTCGATCAATTTTTAAAGTCGAATAAAGTTCCTTAAAAACGTTAATTACAATCTTTATACGTACTGACTAAACTCCACTATTAGATGCACATTTTTTTAAAATGTAATTTAAAATAAAGTAGAAATTGATATGTACATAGTTGTTAGATAAAAAAGAATATATTTGTTAAATAAGATGTAACAATAAATACACAAATAAATAAATGCACAAATAAATAGAATTGTGCGTTTCAGGAAAGAGTTTTCTAAACCAATTGTGAATGATATACATGTTGTTAATGTAAATCTAAATTTGAACCATTCTAACTCCTCAATTCCTATATGTAATTCAATTCTTATAATTCTTATTGATTATTTGTTAATTATAATGATACCATGAGCATTATAAAAGTCATTATAAAAGTTAAAAGGGATGATAAAAATAAAAAAGGAGTTTAATTAAAATATCAAAAAGGAAAGAGCATTCACGTAAGCTAAAGAAAATATTATTTTTAAAGATAATAAGATGATTCTCTAAAATACGAAATCAATCAAAGATTAATATACTGTTTAAAATGAGCAATTCTTAACACACGAGTATATACAATGAAATTAAATTCAAGAATCAGCCCACAAAAATGCCACAATTTTATGATAAAATTTTGAAAAAAAAGAATTTTGTCTTTAACAGAAAGTTTGCAAGGTCGTATTGATCAAATCATGTGAAGAAAAAAAAGTTTATAACAAAATGTACATACGTACAGAAAAAAGTAAATTTACAAAGCTTATTCATATTTTAAACTACTATATATCAGTTAATAACGCCGATGTAACGTTAGCCTATCGTTATGAACAAGTAATTTTTAATGTAACATATCTATAAATATTTAATCACGTGTTGAATTAAACCTTCTCCCAAATATATAAGTCTCCAGTTGTTTCGTAAATATTTTTTCTTTGTTTCGAGTGGCAATAGTGTGTTTGATATCAGTAAACCATGAAATTTTTAAGCTTATTTTCAACGATCTTTATAGTACTTATTACAAGAGTTTTGGGCTCTGAAGTAATATCATTAGAAGCTTCTACTTTTAATCAAACTATTTCTAAAGGAAATTGGTAGGTATTTGTTTTGTGTATGTTTCTATATCCTTTTTTATTAAGATTTCTTTTTTTTCACTATAATAAAAGGTTTGTTGATTTCTTTGCACCATGGTGCCCTCATTGTCAGGTTCTGGGTAACAGAATTTCTAAATCTTTGACCGGTAGATTATTTTGAATCAGTCTGAAATTTTTATACTATCTATATGCATTTTTTTTATTTATAGAGCCAATATTTTCGAAATTGGCTGCTGAACATGGTGATTCTTTTGAATCAAAGGATTTTCACTTAGCCAAAGTAGATTGTACACTGAATGGAGGTAAATAAATATCTTTATATATTATTGTTATTGTGATCTGTTTGTATATATATATATATCATCAGTTCACATGTATCAATTCATACGTATCAACGTATCAGCAATTCTTATATCATTTATTATATACTAATTGATTTTGATAAAATTTATTTCAATTCTAGATTTGTGTGAATTGCATGAAGTAGAAGGTTATCCCACATTGAACTTGTAAGATTGTCCGACGATCTATTATATTTTGTTATTTAATTTTCCATTATACAAATTCATTAAACTTATTTATTAAACTTATTCATTAAATTTGTCTTATTATAGATATAAAAATGGTGTTAAAATAGATGGATATCTTCGAGCCAGAGATTTTAATTCTTTGTTAGAATATGCAAAGACAAAATCTGAGGAGGAATATGATTCCAAACCTTCTAATGATAATACTGATGTAGCGATAGCACCTGAAGAGGTGGATATTCCTGATGTTGATTTATCTCCACCAAATCCATCTGGCTCTGTTGTATCTTTGACTAGTATCAATTTCGATGATTTAACAAAATCTGGTCCTTGGTTTGTAAAATTTTTTGCTCCATGGTGTGGTCATTGTAAAAACTTGGCTCCTACTTGGGAAGAATTGGGTCATAATTTACAGAATAAAGTTAATGTTGGAAAAGTGGATTGTACAACTGAGAAAGGTATATATTATGTATACATGTTATATATGTACATGTTATATATATACATGTTATATATGTACATGTTATATATGTACATGTTATATATGTCGCGCGAATTTTTTCTTGACTAAAATTAAATCTTTATTTTGACTAAAATTTTAAAAAGAACTTTGCACCAGATTTAAAATTCAAGGTTATCCAACTTTGAAACTGTATCCTCACATTCAATTGACATTATATTATTACTTTAAATTTACATTATATTTTCATAACCATTTAATAATTTTACAGTATAAATGGTGCTGATGATGTCACTGATTACAAAGGATCAAGGCAATTACAAAGCCTTCAAGAATTCGTTGAGCAAGTTGCATCTGCCCGTTTAGTAGATATAACTTTGGATGATTTTGATAAAGCCAAAAAGATCGATGATGTATTCTTTATTTATCTTTATGATGAAAAATCCCCTGCAAAAAATTTAGTATGATTTATTTATTATTTTTTATTATGTCATTGAAATTATTCGTTTTTTTTTTGTTTATATTAATTTTATTTTCTTTATCAGAATATTATGAAAGGATTATCTCGTTCTTTCTTTTCGGTTAAATTCTATTCTAGCAAAGATCCTAAACTTGCTACCTCGCTAAAAGTTTATACTCTTCCATCTTTAATAGTCATAAAGGATGATCTCCAAAACAGTTACACTTCCTTAAATTCTGTTGATCCTTTCGATGATATTGTACCTTTAAAAACTTGGGTTCAATCGGAAAAATATCCATTAGTACCTGCCATAGATTCGGAAAATTATGAAGATATATTGAGTGGTGATAGATTAGTGGTTTTAGGTGTATTGAGACCAACTGATGTTAGACCCTTCATTAAAGCTAAAAATACTTTAAAAGCTGTAGCAAAACTTTATCATCAACAAACTAAAAAACGTGGAAGTTCTGAAGACAATCGTGGTGTACTATTTGCGTGGTTGGATGGTGACAAATGGGAAAATTATATTTATAGTATTTATGGTTTAAGTAAGAAGGATTTACCAACCGTTATAATTTCTGATCCTCTGGTAAGTTATTTTCCATTAATTATTATTATTGTTTTTTAAATGAATTAAATCGTAACAATATTTACAATAATGTTTACAATATAATATTTACAATAATATTTACAAAAATATTTACAAAACAGTCTAGTGAATATTTTGATACCTCAAAAAGCGGTGACAAACTCACATTAAGCCATCAAGCACGATTACTTGAATCTATTAACGACGCAAAACTCGGTAATCTTGAAGGAAAGAGTACAATTGGATTTACGGAAAAGATGTTTAGAGTAATTTGACGTGTTTTGGTTTTTTTTTCATTTTTGTTTTATTTAATTCTCGTGGTTCTAACTTTTGTTTTTAATTAGGGTATATTTTCAATGGGCTCTGAAATTCAGGTAATTAATATTTACCATTTTTTTTAAAAAAAAAGAAAAAATACGCAATTTCATTTTTATTAAATAAATTTTATTTATATATATTTATTTATTTATTTATAATTAATTTGAATAGAAAACATTTGCTTATCACCCATTACTCTCTCTGGTATGTTTGGTATTGATATTTGGTATATTTTGGAGGAGTTGTTTAATGCCGCAAACGCGGGATGGTCGCTGGCGAGACTTTGAACGAGGATATGATAAATTTGAATAATAGGCAAAAAAAAAAGGGGGGATGTTTATTTTACAGGTTTATTTTGGGTGTTAAAATAGATTTATTATTATACTATTTTGTTTGGTTTGAAAATTATAAAATTTAACTATAACTATTTTTGTATGATTAAAGATATAGAACATCAATCATTATTTACGTAAATTTTATTCACTAGATACATTAATGGTGTAATTTAATGTTTAATACATTCAAACTTCTTTAAGTGCACTTCCGGCGCTAGTCATTGACGTGCTTAGAAAACTTATAATAATTGTCCAATCAAAATGACTTTTCGGAAATTTCACTTTACAGAAACTCGTTTTTGTGTAATTTTGTAAGTTTACGTACTAAAATATTAAAATATTAGTTTACTGGTTAAACGCGTTATTATACGATGATCATAACCATAAGAAAGTTTATTTTTACACAAGTTATTCAGGATAACGGTTTGCATATATCGATATATTCTAAAAAATTTTTATTAATCTATGTATTTTAGCGTTAGAATTTAAATATTGCAGGTTTACCCTTTATGGCATCATTGATTTTTAAAGCATTTTCTTTGGACATTTCTTCTCTTATACTTTGTTAGTAATTGCTAAAAATAAATGGATTTTTATAAAATTATGAAAAAGATATTTTGATATTCCTAAAAGATAAAATAGCTCTAAAAGGACGCCAAATCTTGCAATATTTAATAATTCCCATCTTTCTGAATACGATATAGGGATTTTAAAGAAAAGTATATCATAGATTCTGTAAGTTTTTATATGAATAATGTCCGTAAGGTATACTGAAACGAAGTATTCTAAAAATATAAAACTTAGTAGTATCTTTTATATATATATATATATATATATAATGCCATAGTAGAAACTTTAAAATACAAAGTAGAAATTTAATTACAAAAGAAAATTTCTAAAATAAAGATTTCTAAGTTATATTTTTGTTACTAAAATAGACACCCAATGTGATATTACATCTTCTATTTTCTAATGAGTATTATAGATAATTATTTTAAATTATTTTCTAGTTAGAATAGATTGAAGAAAATCTTAGATAAAAGTCAAAACATTATATAAAGCATGTAGTTATAAAAAAATCTTGTAAAAATCATTTGTTAATAGAATGTGTAATGTTAATAAGAGTATGTATTGTAGGATAATAAATTTTTGTATATTTAGTTTTAAGTGTTATATTTTGAAAGAGTTTTTATTGATATTAGAATATATTACATATAGATCATAAATTTTAATAGTATCAAACAAGAAGATTGTTGGCAAAATTAATTATAAATTGTTATAGAGAAGGTGCCAGATAAGATATATAAGATTAATTAGTAATTAGAATTAAAAGAGTTAGTTATAAAGTTTATAATTATAATGAGAATAAATAATGCTAATTTATTAGATATTTGAAGAGAAATGAATGTTAATTTGATTATATTAAGAATTGATTGATTGATATTAATATTATTGTTTGTACAAAAAATAAAATAAAGTGTATCTTTAAGATTTGCATAATAAAAATATATTAATATAGTATATAAATAAGAATAATAAATATTAAGATTTTTATATTAAGTAGGTTGTCAATTAGAATTTTAATATAAAAAAAGTATTTTTGTATATTGAATTTTATGAATTTGATTATTTGAAAATTAAAAATCTAATTAATTTCTAAAATATTTTAAAAATATTTTAAAAATATTTAAATATAAATCATAATAAAAGTCCTTGAATTGCAATGTTATAATTAATAAAAGTGTAAATTTTAAATAAGATTAGATAATTATTTAATAAAAAATAACTTAAAGCAATAAATAGTAATAGTTTAAAAATAGGTTTATAGGTTGGGCTTTATAGCTTAATTGTTAAGCTATTGACCTTCTACAAACAAAATCAATAGTTTGAGTTAGGTTAAAGGCAAAATCTAAAGATTTTAAACTCTAAAATAGAAACTAAATCAAATATAAAAGGTTCTATTATATAAAATATTGTGCAGATAAGTTTTCTAGAAAACAAAATAGCATCAACATTTTGCATTCAACTTGCAGTGTATTTGATTGAAAGAGTAATACTAATGTAATTAAAACTGAAATAGTAAATAAAGTAAAATATACAAAAAAGATCTGTAGTAAAAGATTTGTTTAACCAAAATTGAATAATTTTTAACAAATACTATAAATCTTAAGGAAACAGAACTAATTATTATACATTACAACATCATTGATAGTTATTATACTTGTATGCAATAAGTCAAGATTTCAGGTCTTCTTGCAGTATCAAGCTAGAAGTATAGTAATATGATGACAGTAGTACACTTATAAGTAACTGCAAGAAGCAATTATATCTATATTACAGTCAAACCAACTATAGAAGTACATTAAAAAGAGTGCATAATAACTACAGATAATAATTTAAAATTTTGATAAATTCAACTATATCAATTAGTATCAATATATAAAGAACTATATATATCAAATTGGTAGTAAGAAGAACAAGAAACTGCTAAAGTCAATTAATTTAAAAGACAAGAAAAATTATTACAAGAAATAGATAGAAGGATTATAGTCAGATAAAATTAGAGAATATAGTATAATAAGATGACTATAGCCTTACTTAAGTTAAGTAATAATAATTAGAATATTATAATTTTAATAATATAATAGAAAATATAAATATAATGTCATATTGGGTAACTATACTTATTTTAATATAATAATACAAATAAAAATATAAAAATTGTAATAACATTATTAAAGTTAATAAACAAAATTTTTTTTTTTTGTTTTCGCTAAGGCCTTTAGTTATCAGTAGCTACTGCCTTTATTGTAAATTCAATTATGATTATATAACTTGTACAAGGTTAACCCTATACTACACTAGCAGATAGCACTCAAGCTTCTGTACACCTAATTAGATGCCATTGTTAATCTGTAGTTTTTTCTTTAACTACAGTAATAACAGAAGCTGCTCAACTATAGCATGATAACTATAACTTGATAGGTTCTATACAAAAATCTACACAAGACTTAACAAAATACAAAGTGATTTGGAATTTTAAGGCAGAGGCAACAATAGATAATATATGAAGATAC